GGTCAGTTTATGTTCATATACTTTCTCCTGGACTTGTCTCCAGATTTCTCCAACAAAGACATTACTATATGAGCAAAAAGCAAAATAACATTCTCATCCAATAATACAATGGTTTATCGCTCTGATGATGTCTGTTACAGGATCAATCAGGGTCGCAGGACGGTAGGTCATGGATCTCCTCGCACAATCAAAAATGCTCTGCTTCAAAGCAAACCTTCTTCGACTTCCTATGAGACTGATTTACGAATTTCTTCCAACCAACATTTCCCTCAAAACGAGAAGTCGAGTTACACTACATTATCAATGGATTATTTAGAATACAGCTTTTCTTTATATATATAAGCTTTTATTAATGGTTGACTGCAGATTAGGTCTTTTTTCATGGCCTCATTAGCGCTAGGCAAATTCTGAATCATGAATGTATGGGTTTTGAGACAACCAACCGCGGCCCTTGTAGCGTCGATAAATCACAAAATACCCTAACAGCGATAGTATTGGAATTGTTTGTCCTACCAGGTGATGTGTTTTTTACCCACCCATTCCTCGTTCATTTCCGGCTGATAGTGCTAATGAGATAATGAGAGCTAGTCGAACCTTGGATCCAACTTAAATTGTGATTCTTTTCTTGCATGCGTGCGCATCGTAAGGTAATGCAAAATTTAACCTTTTCTTAAATTCGGCATTAAAAAGATTTTCTTTCAGTCCAGCACCATCATCTTAAACTGGTTAGCATATACAAATATCGGGATTTCGAAAGATGTGGAACAGGCAATTTATAAAGTTCTACCTCATGTTTGAGATAACTGTTTCTTTCTTGCCATGACCAATCGGGAAATTAAACAAAGAGTTCTAGTATTCGAAACCTCAAATGCACGAACACAAATACGCGGAAACATCTTGCCGAGAAAGTACGGTGACTAATCCTTGATCAATTACTTAAGACGTCAGGTCTTTTATGAAGCTAAATCACTCAGTTTTTAGTCAAATATGATCTTCAAGGCATCAATTCACATTTCTAGAGTTGAATTTTTGTCGATAATGCACTGTAGTTGGTGACATAACAAATGAATAAAGTTCGAGGTAATAGCTAGATCTTAAATAAAAGCCTGGTCGTGGTCTAGATTTTTGCTAAGTAAGAACAAATGGAATTCACTGGCATGGAAAGTCCTTTCAGTCTTCTCATTGTGGAAGAATCGACCCTCAGGCTTTGCGCCATCTTAATTGGCTTAAGCTAGCTCGAGCTATTATTATACTTATCTCGAAGTTATACAGGAGGATGGGTTTTAATGACTTTCCCTGTATTCCTAGTTTTTTTCATAAAGTTGAATCCAAGGGATTGGTATAACCATTTTGTTGGAGTACCTTTCATGTCTTTTTTTTAGAGTCGAGTGGAAGGGATTCGAAAGTTGGCCCCACCGGAAGCCCCGGGGAGATTGTAGATTTGTGTGAATAGGTCCTCGGCTCACCGTCCTGTGAACCCGATAAATACTTGTTGAGCTTTTGTCCTTTATGCCTGACTAATTCATTCATTATCGGCTTAGTTCCTATCGAATATTGCGACACGGATACCCCTCTTCTCGATCAGAGTGGTTTAGGTACGGTACTTGTCGAAAAATAGCACAATTGCTAAACTCTCCTTATTTTTCCCCTCTCTGCATTCACAAATAAACAAAAACCTAAATTTGCCTACGTCCAAACAGCCCGCCGCAACCAACACTACCGCCGTCTCTTCCCCCTCAACGGCTTCACTTACCTTCAATCAGTCGCAGAGCCTTGTTGACTCCCCTCCTCGAGGTCTCTCTGCGGCCAGCTCCATCCTCCGAATCTCCTCAAGTGTAGCTTGTCTCGTCACAGGTCCTCTTGAACAGGTGGGCCGATTGTTGAGAAGCCGACTCAGCCAGTTCTCCTCCGGCTCCCGGTCCCCTGCCCCCACTCCGCCGCCTTCAGCCTCAAGTAATCTGGCCACCAGAACTTTGTTAAAGCCCTCCTCTCGACCTCCTTCCTCCATTTCCATCACCTCCTCCTGCTCTGCCTCTGCCTTCTCCTCGTTGCATGCTCCAAACCAGTCGTCTGCCTACTTGGACCGATCTTCAGCCGCCCTTGCGCCTCGGCGTGACAATCTGCCCAATCTCGTCTGGCCCGGGTCCTGTTCACATTTTGCTCAGGGCTCGAGCCCAATTTCTGCGTCGACGTCGCCAGGCTGTATGATGCATCGAAGCCATACTTCTGCCTCAACTGGCCCCCACCAATTAGAAGGGAATTCAGCTCCTTCGCCAGCCTCCATCTTTTCCAGTGCATCTCCATCTCATTCATCTTCTCGACATAATGCCAACAGATCTTCAATCTCTTCTTCCTTTTGTCTAGCCTCGGAAAACTCGCCCCCAGCCTCAATTGGCCACTTGGCTGGACCTACATCTCATTCGGTTGCTGGTACAACCCCAGCCTCTGCGGCTGTCGCGTTTGCTGCAGCTTTAGCCGCCACAATGGCCGAGCTGTCTCGACCCCGAGTCCGGCGCCAGAGGTTCTACTCTTTGCAGACCACACTGTCTGCAATGTTTACTGGTGGTGGCGGCTATAACATTGAAGCGAATGCCGAAGCTCTAGGCCAATCTAACTGTCCGTCATGGCAACATGGGTTCAGATTTTCTCACCAGTACACCCAACAACAGACTGTACGGGCTCCGCAACTACGTCTTGGCACGAACCAGCCTCCTTTTTTTCAGGTAATCTCAAGATTCAAACTTGATTTATTCTGGCATTTGAAGCCGATATGAAGCAACATTAGCCATTTGATCCTTTTGGTAGACGTAACCAACTTTATTACAAACAAGTAGGTTTTGGAGAGAATATTAGATCGTGAGTCACCGTCACATTGCTTACGGTGATTTGGGACAAATTAGTTGAACAAAATAAGTAGGTTTCATAGATTCATCGAATTTCACTTAGCCTTGCCTCTGTATTTACATCATATTAAAGTGATTCAAGTTCCTATTCAATAGCTAATCCATAATTTAGTAATAATTTTTTCAACGGAAATGCCAAATAGAAACTTTTTTTATAGCAACATCATTACTTCTAGCAGTGTGGTTTAAGAGAAGCTTGACTTGATTTTAGGTTCATAATCTGCCTATTGACTAGCTAGTAGCCATAGGTTATGGCGCTGACTGCCCGGCTTCGAATCCCGTAGGCGGATTCCGATAAGACTCATTCGACTCAAAGCGAACGAAAGCAATCATAATTCTTAGTGCCAAATCGGATTTTATCCCAAAAGCAAGCATTGTTTTATTTTGGTTTCCGATGGACTATCTCAGCAAAAATGATGCAATTGAAGAGTTAAATAAAATACAAAAGAAGCCGTATGAACTTGCTTATTACGCCTGCTCTGCCAAACAGTCTGATAAGATGGCCAGTAAAAATAAATA